GCAGGAGGAAGGGTAAGATTTTACCTCTGAGCTCTGACCTCTTGGCTTTCTCTTTTACATTGGTTCTGTGTTTCTTATTTAATAAGACGGTTAGTTACATCTACAGTTGTTGACCAAATACTGATCAACTGCAGCCTCCCGAAATGCATCCATGAGAAAATTAAGAGCCAATATGCCCATGATTGTATGTGGTAAATCACCTTTTGTCCTTCATCTAGAATAAATAGTAATATACTGCCCTTGGGAAAACTGAAAATACAGGAACATAGTCGCTGAAAATACTTCCCCTGGCACTGACTCCTTTGCGACCTTGGCTGACAGAGGGATGCTAAGATACTACTTTACACTGTGACCTAGACATTACAGAATCAAACAGCAACAGGAAGATCCTCCTGCCATTACAAGAAGGTGACATCATGCCCAGCTTTGTTTTTTTTTTTTTGTTTTTTTTTTTGTATCAGTGAAGAATTAGCCTCAGATCTCTACCTTTTCCTCTCCAACTGCTCAAAGCTTCTCATTTCTGTTTGATTTTTTTTTCAGGTGGTCAACCTGGCTTTTTTCTTAAGCCCTTTCATTTCATTGGAAGCATCATTACAAACATGGAGTCTTCATTCATATACTACACTCTCTTAAATTCATTCAGGAGATACTGACAGTGTCCTAATGAGTTCAAGCCTCTTATGAGGAAGGAGAAAGAGGGCCAGTGTTATACTTACTTGCCAAAGCCTTTTTGCCAGCTGCATGGTAGGCTACAATGTATTTCCTGCCTTCTCTATCCTCTGTTTTTGTCTCTAATCCTGGGAAGAGAGATTTAATAGCTTGATGGATGATGGTTCTTTTTTCTTTGGTGTCCTCAACGACCTATTAAAAACAGAAGACAGCTATTATTCTAACAAGGATGAAATAGGAAAATAACACAGTGAATCAGTGAAGACATGGCTCATTTCATCAACTATGCAAAAGTCAACAAGAATGTTTGGCTATTATTTCAGAAACGTTTTCCAGCTGCCTGATACTGATGATCCCAAGGGCTTGTGGACAGAGCATGTCCATCTCCAGACACTGCACAAGCACCTCAGACTCATCTTTTTCTGTAATCCTCGTAAGCTCCCTGTTAACCCACCACCGTGCCACATACGGAGATGAGAATAAGGTGCAGGGAAAACAGAAGATGTTTGAAGTTACATAATGTGAAGGTATGAGAGCTGGGTTTGAAACGAAGCAGTCAAGCCCTGTAATCACCCACAGAAGTTGCTTTTGGTATCTTTTCTAGACAAAAAGCATGGGGAGTCCCAGAGCAAGATGCTAACAGACAAGCCTTCAGGGTATCAGAAAGTTAATACCTCTGGCAACTCAGCCCACAACCATCTCCTACTGAACTTTATTTTATATTAAATTATTATTTTTTTAAAGCTCCTGTGGCTTTTTTAAAAAAGATTTATTTATTTATTTATTTATTAATTTATTTATTTATTTATTATGTATACAGTATGCCTGTGTGTCAGAAGAAGGCACCAGATCTCACTATTGATAGTTGTGAGCCACCATGTGGTTGCTGGGAATTGAACTCAGGACCTCTGGATGAGCAGCCAGTGCTCTTAACCTCTGAGCCATCTCTCCAGCCCTATTTTATATTAAATTATTTTATGGAGAAAAATCTAACACAATTAAGAAAACCAACATAAAATTTAAACTTATCATTCAAACAACTTTTTGTCAGCTTTCGACGTTTCTTACACTAAGAAACAAATTTTACCTCTATTCAATAGCACAAATGGCTGGATATGCCACATTATAAAAAGAAAAAGATTTTTCAAAACATGTTGATGCTGTATTCAGTGCACAGGAATTTTCTAATTCATTCTCTTAAAAATGCTGATAGTGGAATAAGCTAACTGGGCCACTTGACCTCTTGCAGAGGACCTGGGTCGGTTCCCAGCAACAAGTGGCAGATTATAACTACCACTAAGTCTAGTTCCAGGAGAATTTAACACTCTCTTTCGACTTCCTTGGGCACCAGACATGCAGGTGGTACATAGACATACAGGTAGACAAGACACTTATATATATAAAATAAATACTAAATCAAAAATAGTATTTCCTCTTAATTTAATAGCTAAGGTAACTTGCCTATAATTTATGCCCTTTAAAAGTTAAAACTGGGGGGCTATAGAAATAGCTCAGCGGGCTGGAGAGATGGCTCAGAGGATAAGAGCACTGATTGCCCTTCCAGAGGTCCTGAGTTCAATTCCCAGCAACCACATGGTGGCTCACAACCATCTGTAATGAAATCTGGTGCTGTCTTCTGGTCTGCAGTCATACATGCTGTATACATAATAAATAAATAAATTTTAAAATAAATAAATAAATAGCTCAGCAGGTAGATCTGGATGTCCTCCCAGAAGACCTGGTTCCTATTCCCAGCACCCACATGGCAGCTCACAACTGCCTTTAAGTCCAGTTCCAGGTGATCTGAGACACCCTTCTGGCCTCCTTGTGCACCAGGAACATAAGTGGGACACAGGCATATATCATGCAGGTAAAACACCCATAAACATATAAGTAAAAGAAAAAGAAAAAAAAGTTAAAACAGTCAGCAGACAACATAGCTGTCAGGATCAGAGTTAGGAAATGTCACACGTGGGAAATGTACACAGGGTGATACAACACTATATTACACATTCAGGGAAACTTGTACTCAATCTCTAATTGTCCTTACAGACAATTCTTTCTCTTTCTTTTTAAAAATGTATTTATTTTTATTTCATGTGTGTGTTTTGCCTGCAGGTATGTATTTGTACCACATGTGTGGCTGGTGCCAGAGAAGGTCAGAGGAAGGCATTGGATCGCCTGGAACTGGAGTTTCAGATAGCTGTGAGCTTCCCTATGGGTGCTGGGAATTGAACTCAGGTCCTCTGTAAGAACAACTGGTCTTAAACTGCTATGGCCATCTCTCTAGCCTTAACTGCCCTTCTAGACAATTCTTAAATCCATACTTAAAAACACAGGTAAACCCTCCCCCCACTGCCTAGGGCCTGATTCTGGCAGTCACTGTTGGTCATGGCAGTGTGAGAAGGGGGAAGGGAGGAGAGGCAAGACCCAAGGAAGCTGAAGAAGCTAACTGGTGGTCTGAGCTCTGAAACTACTTACTATTGATGACAATTTAAAAAAAGATTTCGCCGGGTGGTGGTGGGGCACGCCTTTAATCCCAGCATTCGGGAGGCAGAGCCAGGAGGATCTCTGTGAGTTCAAGGCCAGCCTGGTCTACAGAGCTAGTCCAGGACAGGCTCCAAAGTTATAGAGAAACCCTGTCTCGAAAAACGGAAAAAAAAATTTCCAAATTTAATTTAAAAGATGTTTTTTTTTGACAAATGTGATGGTGTATGTCTTTAATTCTAACACTCAGGAGGCAGAGGCAAGAGGCAGTCAGATCTCTGTGAGTTCAAGGCCAATATGGTCTACATAGAGAGTTCCAGGTTAGCTAAGGCTACAGTTAGACTCTGTCTCAAAACAAACATTTTTTTTCCAGACAGGATGATATTTAGTCCCAGCTATTCTTGAACTCCTGATTCTCTGGCCTTCATCACCTAAGTGCTGGAATCCAGGCCTGTGATGGTGTGACAAGGTTAAGACACTATTTTGAGAAACAGAACACATTTATAGATGACATAGTCACAAGATCCCAAACAAACAACCCAGGAGCTTTTTTTTTTTTTTCTTCAAAATGACTTCCTCTGTGTTAAAGAGGTGAGTGCAAGAATGTGTGGACAACACTGGTTGATGCATGTGTAATGGAACTAAAGAGAGCTGTTTCTAGAGAGAATTCTGCAAGCCTGGTGCCCTTTCAACAGTGAAAAACATTATTTTTGTTGGTGATATCAAGAAGATATAGAGCTAGGTGTGGTGGCGCATGCCTTTAATCCCAGTGCTCAGGAGGCAGAGGCAGGTGGATCTCTGAAGTTCAAGGCCAGCCTGGTTTACAGAGTGAGTTCCAGGACAGTCAAGGCTACAGATAAACCCTGTCTCAAAAAACCAAAAAAGTGGGGGGGCGTGGGCGGGGGCGGGCGGAGGTGGACATAGAACTCAATTTATGAGACTATTTAAAAAAGAATAGCAAGGCTAAAACCAAGTAAGCTGTGGAAGACAGACAGTACATAAAGAGGGCTTGTTTCTGTAAGTTCTGATTAGGGCAATAAAACTGTGCAGAGGTATAACCTGAGGGACCGAGGAGAAAACTTAGTATAGGGCTTGCCAAGCAATCACATCCTTAGCTGGACTTCCAGAACCCATACTCAAGAGCTGGGCATGGTGATCCACACTTACAACCTCAGCACTAGGGAGGCAAAGAGAACAGCTTCCTGGGACTCACCTGTGAGGTAGACTGGGCTAACTGGATGAATTCTAGGCCAAGTGAGAGACTCTGTCTCAAAAATCAAGGTGGATGGCTCCTGAGGAAGGACACCTAAGGTTGTCCCCTGGCCTTCACATGCACCTATCCACCTGTGCTCCCACACTCACATAAAAGAAAACGGCACAATAGTCAGGTATGGTGGTATAAACCTGTAACCTTTGCCTTGGAAGATAGAGGCAGGAGGATCAAGAGTTTGAGGTCATCCTTGGCCATATAAGAGTATGAGGCTAGGATAGGCTATATGAAAACTTGTCTCAAATAAACAAAACAAAATTCACCAAAAATGAAACAAAACCGAACCAAAAAATAAACCCTATTCTTAGGGCTTGGGATAAAGCCTAGCTGACATCAGCTTATCATTTTAAAACCCCTAGGCTTAATCCTCAGCACCACAAAATAACAAAACAAAGGCTGGGCATGATGATGAATGCCTATAATTCCAGGAATTGGAAGGATGTGGACCAAGAGTCCCAGGCTATCTTAGGCTATATAATGACAGTCTACCTCAAAACATACAAAGTCAAACCAAACAAGCTGCACAAAGAGTGAGCGACAGACAGAGAACCCACAACCTATTCCCAGGACTTTTCAACTTGGAATCATTGAGGATTTTGTCAATAGGTAAATTCAATAATTTAAGAACCTTTTATGCTCAGTATTTTATATCTTTAGAAAGTGATGGTGGGGAATGAATGTAGGTGGTGTACTGGAGGAAGATGAGCTGTGATAAGCTGGAATAAACTGAATGTGGAGGTCTGAATGAAAATGGCCCCCACAGGCTCACAGGGAGTGGCACTATTAGGTGTGTGGCCTTATTGGAGGAAGTGTGTCACTGGGGGTTGGCTTTCAGGTTTTAGATGCTCAAGTTAGGCTCGAGTAAAAAAGTGTTCCTCTTTCTTCCTGCTGCCTGCTGATCTGGATGTAGAACTCTCAGCTACTTCCCCAGCACCATGTCAGCCTGCATGCCACCATGCTTCCCACCTTGACAATGGACTAAACCTCTGAACTTTAAGTCAGGCCCCAATTTAATGTTTTCCTTTGCCAGAGTTGCCATAGTGTCTCCCCACAGCAATAGAAACTGTAACTAAGACACTGAGTGATAAGAGGAGAAATTTTAGACAATCTAAAATTTATTAGTTTATTACAATGTGGTAAAGGGTTGGGGGTGTAGCTCAGTGGTAAAATTCTATCTAGCCTAGCATGCACAGAGTCCTGAGTTTGATCTCTAGCACCTTATAAACCTGGCATGGTAGTTCATCTCTATAATCCCAGTGTTCAGGAGATCTCTTTGTTACATTGTGGTCACAGAATTTCTTTTTACAGAAAAACATAGCTTTGCTAGCCGGGCATGGTGGATGCTGAGGCAGAATTTAAGACCAGTTGGGGCTATAGAGAGATACCAGGTCTCAAAACACAAAAGCCGGGTGTGCCAGCATACATTGTAATCTCAGCATTTGCAAGATGGAGACAGGAGGAGACTCAAGTTCAGCCTAGACTATGAGATCCTGTTTCAATAAGAACAGGACAAACAAACCTTTCCTTGACATATTTATCTTGAAATTGATTATTTGTCCTGATTTAAGTAAAACCAAAAACTAGTAGACTGCCCTTTGAGACAAAGTAGACAAGCTACCTTTTTGTTAAACACAGCTAGCTCTTATGTGGTCACTTATGAACATGCACCCTGAAGGAAGCACACAAACCCAAGCTCCCACTTGCACTGCTTACCTCAATGGCAACACTGGTTTCTTTATTTTTGAAAAGCTGGAGCTCCTCCAACTGCTGCTTGTCCTCAGCTGTCAAAACAGTGAGCGCTTCTTCTGGAGGGTCCTTTAACCACAGAAAGCAAGTAAGTCACACAGAGACAGTAAAACTACCTTTCTAGGATCTTTAGGAAGAGCTATTATATACAACAGATGGATTTTTCTAGAAAGATTTCTACCTCCTTGTCCATTGGAACAGATAAGTCATCCAAATGGCTGATCCGTCCGTCTTTTCCAATTTCATGAACAACAAAGTCAGAGTATCTATTGAAGAGAAAACCAAAGTTTTTAAGAAGTGAGCATTTTACTTTCTACTAATTTTAGGACAAACTTTACTCATTCTAAATAAGAGATTTAAAGAAAATCTTCTCTTATTTTAATGAACACTGAAACACATACAGTTTCATCCTAGAAGTTTCTAAAATATTATTATAAAAAATATTAACAAATGCAGAATGAAAGCCTTCAATGTTTATGGCTCCATCAGTATAGTGCTTGAGTGGCAAGCATGGATGAAGACTTGAGTTTGATCCTTAGCACCCATGTGAAAAAGCCACATGTGGGTGCACATGTTTGTAATCTGTTGGGAAGGCAGAGACAAGAGGATCCCTGGAGCCTGCTGACCTGCCAGTCTATATAAATTGGCAAGTCCCAGGTTTTGAGACTGTTTCAGAAAACGACTGCAGAAGAACTGAAGAGATAGCTCAATGGTTAAGCGTACTGGCTGCCCTTGCGGAGAACATGGGTTTGGTTCCCAGTAACCACATGGCAGTCCACAAGTGCTTACAACTGTAACATCAGTTCCAGTGGACCTGATGCCCTTTTCTAGCCTCCTTGGACACTGCACACATGTGGTGCAGATAAACACATGCAGACACTCACACCATACACATAAAATCAATCTTTAAAAATAATCATGTAGGGAGTAACTGAGGAGGGCTTCCACATATACATGCATATATACACATCTAAGGTTATACAGTCTATCTTAAATTAAGTCATAAATAGTCAATTAATTAAAACTAAATAGTAAAATCAGAACCCACTAAGTCTGTCATAAGCTACTGTGAAAGCTTTTTTTCTATCATCACACTTAACATCCTCTTAACAACTTCCACAGTGACACTGGTATCCATCTTGTAGATGTGGATACTGAGGCTCAGGAGCCTCAGCTCACTATTAAGTAGCTGAACAGAGTCATATCCAAATTTTCCTGGCTCCAAACAACTTCTAGTTCCTACTGAAAAATATGGTCTATTCAGAAAAAACAACTTAAGATTATAAGATGAATTCAGCAAGAAAAAAAATACCTTGAAAATGTCTAAAAGAATTTAACAAAACAAATACCATACCCCCACACCTAACAATATGCATCACTGGGAAATTACGTTTATTTAAACAGTTCTAGGAAAAATCTCTCCTTGATAAGAAATAAGAATTCATCATAAGCCAGATTGTGAATTAAAGGCCAAACTGGGCCGGGCGGCGGTGGTGGCGCACGCCTTTAATCCCAGCACTCGGGAGGCAGAGGCAGGCGGATCTTTGTGAGTTCGAGGCCAGCCTGGGCTACCAAGTGAGTTCCAGGAAAGGCGCAAAGCTACACAGAGAAACCCTGTCTCAAAAAACCAAAAAAAAAAAAAAAAAAAAAAAAAAAGGCCAAACTGGTTAAGGAGCAAAATTCTGTCAAGAAAGAACAAGAGAAAAGGCAAAAGAAACAGGAGAAACAGGAAGAACGCAAGAACTATAATGGGTACAGTATAGTAAGAGTGTTTGCCTAGTGTGCATGAGGCTTTAGGTTCAAAGCATAGGATCATAGAAAGCAAACATGTTCAAAATCCAAGACTATTTACTTAGGCAGCTCTCCCACACTCTGTCCCTTTTTGATCAGAAATGTAAACAATCCTTAGGTTTAGAAAACTAAATTGAGGGGCTGGAGAGATGGCTCAGCAGTTAAGAGCATGAGCTGCTCTTCCAAAGGACCAGCACCCTAAGGCAGCTTACAACTGTCTCTAACTTCATTTCTAGGGGACATCCTCATATAGATATTCATGCAGGCAAAACACCAATGCACACAAAATAAAAATAAATAAATTATACAAAAAAAAAAAAAGAAAGAAAACTACATGGAAAGTTGGGTGTGAAGGCATATCCCTAAATTTCTAACACTCAAGAGTCTGAGGATTGAGAGTTCATGACAACTTCTGGGTTAACCTGGGCTACTTAGAGACACTGCCTCAAAAAAAAAAAAAAAAAAAAAAACAAACAGCAAAAGATTTTTTTAAAGACTATATTGCTGATCTCTTTCTGAAGGAAAAGTATTAACACAACTAAAACAAACATGTTTACTAAACTCACCTTTCTTTTAAGATCCCTGAGAAGCCCTCATGAGGGCTCACAAACTTCGTGATGCCTACATCAAGTTCTGTGAGCCCATGCTTCATCATGTCTGCAAAACTCTCAGGCTCCTCCTCTTCCCCTGTCTCTGAAAGGCCATCTTCCTCCTCTTCCTCCTCTTGCACCTGAGCACTGGAATTCTTTTCATCTTTCTTGGCATCTTCACCTTCTGGAGGTCCAGGCTCATCCTCACTGCTGTGTAGACTGTCATTTTCTACCCCATCCTGACTGTTGGTCAGATAGCACTCTGAGACCTTCTGTTTCTTTGTCTCCTCCTGCAGGGCCACACCATCATTATCTTCCACAACAAGGCACCCACGTTTCAGGGACACGCTTGTCATTTCCATCTTTAAGGCTCCAAGAGAACATTTAAGAGGACCTTTCAGAGAGGAGAAAAGTGTAGAAGTTAACAATATCCCATAAAGAAGCTAGTTTTGGTAAAAGAGGCACAGTGAACCTTTGTTCAGAGGATCCTTAAAAAATCATTTATTACAATAATTATCAGGGGTGTGGAAAGATGGCTTAATAGTTTAAGAAGCTTGCTGATCTTTCAGAGAACCCAAGTTTGGATCCTAACACCTATATCAGGTAGCTCACTGGACCTGCCAGTCTAGCTCTAGGGGATTAAATGCTCTCTTCTGGCCTTCTAAGGCCATCACATACACATGGCATTCACTGACACACATTCATATAAATAAAAAATGAAAGTATCTTTTTAATGAGAAAATAAGTAATTCTGATATTGGCATACACTCAAAAGTCTAGAAACAGAAAACACGGTACAACAGTTGGTACCAACAGTCTCACGAATATAACCAGGTGGAGTGGCACATGCCTAGTATTTGGAAGGCAGATCAGGTGGATTTCTGTGAATTTCAGGCCAGTCAGGGCTACAGAAAAACCCTACCTCAACAAACCAACAAATAAAAAACTTAAAAAAGTATATATGTAGTTTTAAGGCAGAAATATGTTTTTTAGGGATTTAGCTTAAGAAAATGATTTAGAGAGGGGTTGGCAAGATGGTTTAGTAGTTAATAGTATTTGTTGCTCTTGCAGAGGACCTGGGTTTGGTTCCTAATACCCACTCACATGGTGGCTCACAACCATCCCTAATTTGTTTCAAGGGATCTGATGCTTTCTTTTGGCCTCTGCAGAAACTAGACATGCACGTGGTGCACATATATACATGCAAGTCAAACTCTCATATATAAACATTTAAAAACTAAAACAAAACAAACCCAAACCAAACAGAATATAAATTCAGGGGGTGAAGGGATGTCTCAGAAGTCAAAGGTACTTGTTGCTCTTTCAGAGGATCCATGTTCAGTTCCTAGCACCCACATGTAGTGGGCGTAGAACTGCCTGTAATTTGAGTTCTTGGGGATCCAATGCTCTGTTCTGGTGTCTGAAGCTACCTGTATACACACATATACATAAACAGACGCACATGTATACACATAAAACAAATTAAAAATAAGTTGAATAATGTGTAGATTATTACACATTATTACAACTGACTAGGAACTGCAAAAGGTGATTACTTCTAGGTGAGGACTGAGGTGGTTAAGTGCTAGAATTGTGTTTTCATTGAATATCACCACTGTTCTATTATAACTTTGTTCCAGGCATGTGTATCATCTTTTCAAAACTGATAAAATACAGTAGTATATAAATGAAAGCATACCCACACCATACCAACAGTTATGGGGTACTGTTGTATAGTACCTATAAAGTCAGCCGGGTATGATGGTATACACCTGTAACCTCAGCACTTGAGAAGTAGAAATTGAAGCACCAGGAGTTCAAGGCCAGCCTGGGATATAAGAGATAGGGATGGTGTGCTATGGGATGGTCTGTATGTCAAATTGCTCTGATTGGTCAATAAATAAAACACTGATTGGCCAGTGGCTAGGCAGGAAGTATAGGCGGGACTAACAGAGAGGAGAAAAGAAAGAACAGGAAGGCAGAAGGAGTCACAGCCAGCTGCTGCCATGACAAGCAGCATGTGAAGACACCGGTAAGCCACAAGCCACATGGCAAGGTATAGATTTATAGAAATGGATTAATTTAAGCTATAAGGACAGTTAGCAAGAAGCCTGCCACGGCCATACAGTTGTCTCTGTGTTTATTTGGTTGGGTCTGAGCGGCTGTGGGACTGGCGGGTGACAAAGATTTTTCCTGACTGTAGTCAAGGCAGGAAAATAACTACAATGGTGGCTTAGTCAGGAGGATCTCAACTTTATCCCTAGCACTAATTTTCTTTTTTTTTGAAGCTGGAGCCTGGCAAGGTGTAGACAGAAGGATTCTCTGGGGCTCACTGCTAGGCAATCTAGCCAATTGCTGAGCTTCATATTCAGTGAGAGACCTCTTCTCAAAGAGCAAAGCCAACAAGACAGCTTAGTGGTAAGGAAGTGTGAATGCCTGGCCTGGCTTGAGTTAGATCTTCAGGTAAAAGGGGAGAATAGATTCCCATAGTGGTCCTCTGACCTCCACAAGTACACCACAAACACACACACACATACAATTAAATATAAACAAATGTAATTAAAAAATAAAAAAAAAATACTAATGTGGAGAAAGATAGAAGACATCTGACATTGGCCTCTGGCCCCCCTCTGCATTTCTCTCAAAACATACGGACACAAGACAAAAGTAAAACAAAACAAAATGAAACCAAACCAAACCAAACCAAACCACAAATTGTAAATATACCAGGTTGATCTTTAACTCTTAACTCTCCAACCTCAGCTTCTTGAGTGCTGAGACTGTAGATGTGCTCCACTATGACAGCTATGTTATGTATTTGACCACAATTTAAAAAGAAACAGCCCCCCAACAGATTATTATTTAATTGGACCATCTGCAATGAACAGAGCAAAATCTAAGACATCACACATACTTCCCCAGTGAAGAGGAACTCAGGAGAGGGGCAAACACAGAGCAATCAAAATAAAGATATTCTGGATAGTGTGTACTTATCTACTTGATCTTACTTGAAACTGTAAGGAACACAAGGAAGGCCTAGGGTGAACAACCCTGGTCAGGAGTGATAAGCAATAGTAACCATGAATGGAGTAGTGATAAGCTATAAGCTATGTGTGGAAGTAGGGATAAGACTAGAAACCCAGTCAGGAAAGAATATAAAAGATGAAGCCCCAGACCCAACCAACAGAGCTCATCAGGCCCTCGCGCGCGTGAGACGACTCTCCTCTGCCAGAGACGTGAGATCCTGTCCCCAAGATCCAGAGGAACAGACGTGGCGAGACCGGACCTGTATACCTGGAGAGGTACTTCTGCTTCCATTTGGAAGACAGGATGAATAATGCTTGTAATCTTACTGTGTGAATAAATGAGTGTTATACCAAGTCTGAATCAAGAGTGATTATTCCTCCCCCATAACCAGGGTATGTGCTCGCTACAGAAACTAAAATAAGGATGTTACGTTTTTCCTATTTTTGTTACACAGAAAGACAGAAAAGTGAACTTACCAACCAACTTAGCAAACATACCCATATAAACCATAAATGAGCTCCAAAAATACTCTAGTCCTCTAAGTATGGTTAATGAGAAACCAGAAATAGCCATGGTTAGATATTAAAAATCAAGGAAATTCTAAGAATTGGCAGATTTTGCTTCATGTCATAGACATGACCACCTGAGCAATCATTGAGAGTAATTACAATAATGGGCTGTCAAAGTACTGGTCAGAAATCATGCAGGCTGCAAGAATATATTATAGAGATTCAGCTGTGTATTAAAGCTATACTTTGACCAGCCAAGGGTCTGTCAAAAGGCAAGCCATTTACTATGGAATATTTGGTGTTATCCAGTTTTTAATATTCTGTGTTCTGCTATGAAATTCTTGCATGCCCAAATTCTGCGGGATTCTGACTTAGAGGCGTTCAGTCATAATCCCACAGATGGTAGCTTCACCCCATTGGCTCCTCAGCCAAGCACCATTTGGCAAACAGATAAGCTTCTCAGATCTGCTTAACTTCTAGGTAACTAACTCCCCTGCTGAGCCTAGGAGACAAGCAGGCTCCTAGATGTATAGCTTTGTTTCTTGTGCAAATGAAGCTCAGACCATCCCCTTCCCTCAGCCTAGGGGCATGACAGAGAGATTGAGGACAATAGGGTGTTTTACATAACCATGGCCAGGGAGAGGGGAGGAGTGAACCCTGAGGCAGGAATAGCAGACACAGAATAGTGTGGTCAGAGAGAGAAGAGGAAGACAGGTTCTGTAGAGGTTAAAGCAGATCACGGGTAGAGTTTTCTGAAAGCTAGGAATAAGGAGCGAGGAAGGTGAGATGGAGGACAAAGGGACAGAGGGCATAGATAGATCAGGTCAAACACATAGGAGCTTACTAAAACTACAAGGACAGGAAAACTGAGCACAGAGAGGAGCTGTATGTGATGACAGGGCTGAAACTATGTAGACAGAATTGACTGAGAAGAATAAAGTGAATGGACTAAAGATTAACTCAGTGTGCTTAGATTCATTTGATATCCCTTAGATTAGTATCCTTAGGCACTTGTAGCATCTGTTCTGGACCCTGATAGAAATCTCAAGGCAGGCACTTGAGGGGAATTCGTTACAGGAGGAGATCCTGACACCTGTTCACAGGCCACAACACTCAGCAGAGAGGCAAGCACAGCCAGAAAAAGCCATGCATGCAGCCTGGCTCAGGGACTTTATAGTCAGACCGTCCACCTCTCTCCCAGATTTAGAAGGAACACCAGATCTCCTCTATAACTCAGAGCAAGATTCCAGGTCTTGCAATTTAGTAAGTGGGTCACTTACCATCTTCTGAGTTGTTGGAAAACTAAAATATGATGCTTTGGACAGATATCTAATATCTCTCCCCATTCAACTTTGTTCATTGAAAATTTTTTTTTCTTTTAACTTTGGAGCCTGTCCTAGATCTCGTTCTGTAGACCAGGCTGGCCTTGAACTCACAGAGATCCACCTGCCTCTGCCTCTGCCTCTGCCTCCCTAGTGCTGGGATTAAAGCCCCACCAACACCGTTGCTACCACAGCCCTGTTCAGTGACATTTATTATGTCCCCAGGAGAGGGGACATGAAAAATAACTAAGACTTTTTTTTTACCCCCGCCCCCCTTTTGTTTGTTTGTTTGTGACAAGGTCTTACCACATAGCCCTGGATGTCCTGGAATACACTATATAGACCAGGCTGGCTGACTGTCTCTGCCTCCCAAGTGTTGGGATTCAAGGTCACTAGGCCCGGTCCCTAAGACACTTCTTATTCACTTTTTAATTCCTGAGCTATTGTTAATGCTTAAGCATGGTTTGCTCTTTTAAATACTTTTGCTTTTTGAGACAGGGTCTCATGAAGTGTTGTGCATGATGAGCAAGTGTGCTAACAATGAACTACATTGCCCTCTGTCTTTACTTTGAGACAGGGTCTTCTAAAATTGCTTAGAATGCCCTTACAATGCAGCCCAGGCAGCTCTGAACTTGTGGTTCTCCTGCCTAGGCAGCAGGCATGACTTAGAAACACTTTCTTTAAAGGCAGAGCATACTCTATCTATATCCTCTTCTGAAAAAAGCCACTAGGTCTATTAGAATCATTTACTGTAACATTTATTAAGTATAAATTATCCTGTGTAGGCACTAGAGAAAAATGGAAGACTTCTTGCAATGAAACAGATGATTGGCTCGGTTTATGCTCAGAAGAACATTTGCCTAGCATGCCCTAGGTTCAATCCTCAGTACTGCAAAAAGCTAAACAAACCCTGTATGAGGACATACAAGCCATTTAGAAGCAGAGAAAGATGAGCAGAGAGGGGTCATTTTGGGTGAAGCCTCCATAAAGATGTTTTAAAGACTTGAAGAAAGCAGACCTGAAAAATGTGTGAGAGTCCCACAGGGGCAGAACAGAACCCGTAAAGATCCCAGCTAGAAATTAGGTTGACAGACCATCGGGTCTGTTATTTCTTTCCAGGATACAAAATCTCAGTTTCATTAGTGCCTTGTATTGCCTCCAACAAAAGTGCTGGAACAGCTGAGTGTGATGGTCCACGCCTTTGAGTTCCAGGACAGTCAGGACAGAGAGACTCCACCTCAATTTAGTAAGTCCCGTCTCAAAACTATGTGTTCAAATGAACTTAGTAAATTTACAAATTCTGCCTGTTGGCTATTTGCTAATTATTGGACATTATTTCACTCTTTTTCACTATAGTGAATTGTCTGATTTTTGACAGTTCCTTCAATAATAAAAACATTGCCCTGCCACTGGGGCATACCAATTTACAGACGGCCACAGATTTTGTTGTTGTTGCTGCTGATGGTGTTTTAGAGTGGGAACAAACCAAAACACCACCTATATTTTAGTGATTTTTTTTTTTTTAATTAAAGAAGTGGCCTTGAACTCTCTTCCATCCCTACAGGGCTAATTAACAGCAATAATCCTGTGCTTTTTAAAGTCCCCTCCCTCAGTTTAGGCTGGTGGTAAGGACCAAAGGGTAAGTAGCCTGCACAGTCATCCAGCAGAGGCTGGAGAAAAAGACCCCTGATGCCAGCCTGATTGCTTCCGCTGGTGTGAGAAGAGCAGCGGCCCCCAAGGCCTGCCCAGTACGTAAGACGTTTGCGGCCAGTACCAGCACCAGGCTCAGACCGGTGCAGGGTAGTCGGACGATCTCGGGGATTGAGCAGGGCTGGGGAAATGAGTTTGGGGAGGCCTGAGGCACCTCCAAGCAAGGAAGGAGAGGAAAAAGTTCCGGTCCACAGAACCGCGGCCAAAGAGAGGATCTGGACGCAGCGCCGCCTAACGACCGGCCGGGAATCAGGGCAAAGAGCCGGGATCCGGGAGCACGGATCGGGAATTAGGGATCTGGGATCCTGGATCGAGGAGTATGGAGCAGATACCGGAGAGCGAGGAATGTGGAGAAGATGCGGAAAAAATGGGGGCGGCGCAAGCTGCGACCACGGCCGGCCGCGCGCGTCTCCGAAGGCCTGGGGCCGCGCCGCCTGGCCGCGCACTTACCCGGAGCCTGCGGGCGCCAGCTAAGCGGCGAAGAAGGCGCTCGGCTCGGGACGCAGAAGGGCGGCGGCCACTCGGAGGAGACAGAGGCCAGGGCCAACCCACATAGGGTACACCGCAAGGAAACCCACACGTACAAGATCTCCCACCAGCCGCCGAGCTTGCACACGTGCGGCGCGGCGCGGCGCGGCGCAGACCACGCCCTGGGGCGGAGCCCGTCTCACCAGCCCCCGGTCCGGGGAGGACGCTCCGCCCACCTGCGCACGGGAAACCTCTTGCCACATGCAAAGGATTCTGAACACGTTTAGGGCTTCAAAAGCAGAGACTGCCTTTTTAGTTATTAATTGCGCTTGAGTGAGAGCTTCTCTCACAGTTACAGCCTTTTATTATAGTTAATAGCGCATATTAATTGAATGGGTTTCCTATCAATAATTCCATGCTTGTATTGTGTGTTTTGATCCTGTTCAGACAATATGACCATTTCTTGTTGCATCCAGGGAACAATAATGAAAAAAGAATTACTTTGTTTCTTTTATACAACTTGGTACTTGCAAATATAACAAGAGCTAAGAATGCCAGTCTCCCCAATTCCTCTTTAAGACAGGACTTGTGACTCTGTTACCCAGGGTGGCCTAGAAGTCAGGGCAATCTACTGCTTCAGTCTGTTTTTGCCACTTCTTAGTTTTGACAATTCCCCAGTAGGACTATCTTGAAGAAAATCATCATTGCTGGTTTATGCTTTGAGGTAAAGAAAAGTAAAATGTATTTTTCTTCTCATGCTCTTCAAGTAGCAAACTGATCAATTCAAAGCACCTCATAACATTTCAGATGTAATTTTTTGCCAGACTTCAACTTGGCAAAAAGAAAAAAAAAAACCAACTCAAGATGTGTGGAGAGGTGCTTTGAAAGAAAATGGCCTTCAAAGGGAGTGACACTATTAGGAGATGTGGCTTTGTTGGATTGGATATGGCCTTGTTGGAGGAAGTGTGTCACCGTGAAGGTGGGTTTTGAGGTTTCATGTATGCTCGAGATTCTACCCAGTATCTCAGACCACTTGCTGTTGCCTGCCGGATGTAGAACTCTCAGCTCCAGCTCGAGCACCATGTTTGCCTGTACACTGCCATGTCCCTCCGATGATAATGGATTGAACCTCTGAACTGTAAGCGAGCCACTCCAATGAAGTGTTTTCCTTTATAGGAGTTGCTGTGGTCATGGTGTCTCTCCACAGCAATAGAAACCCCAACTTAGACCCCGAGTGTCACGAGCCTCTTATCCCAGCACTAAGGCCATGATGGGGGCAGAAGGACCAGAGGCTTAAGGTCATTTTGGGCTATTTAAGGAATCCCAGGTAAACATAGGTTAGGTAAGAACTTGTCTCAAGCCGGGCGGTGGTGGCGCATGCCTTTAATCCCAGCACGTGGGAGGCAGAACCAGGCGGATCTCTGTAAATTCAAGGCCAGCCTGGGCTACCAAGCAAGTTCCAGGAAAGGTGCAAAGCTACACAGGGAAACCCTGGGGGGGGGGGGGAGAAGAACTTGTCTCAAATTAAAATTTATTTCAAACCTTTGTATTTCTCTTAGACTTGTGTTTGTTGTATTTCTGTGTATATGTTCACATATGTGATGATTAGTCTTACTTGTCAATTTGACAGAATCTAGAATTACCTGCCTATGCAGAATTATCCCTATTGAGTTAATTGAAATGGGAGGACCCACATTCTATGAATAGCATAATTCCCTGACTGGGATGCTGGAGCATGTAAATCAGTGGTTCTCAACCTGTGAGTTGTGACCCCTATTGAGGGGGTGAATGACCTTTTCACAGGGATTATCTAACACCATGGGAAACATTAGATATTTAAATTATGATTCATAACAGCAGCAAAATTCCAGTTTTGAAGTAGCAACAAAAATAATTTTATGGCTGGGAACTGCACGAGGAACTGTATTAAAAGTTTGCATCATTAGGAAGCTTGAGAACTGGTGTGAATGGAAAGAGAGAGCTGAGCATCATCATTCACTGTTCTGTTTCCAGTAGTGGACATGATATGACCAGCTGTTTCAAGGTCCTGGTGCCTTAGCTTTCCTTCCATAATGGACTGTACTCTTGAACTGTGAGTCATCATAAACCCATTCTACCTTAAGTTGGTTTCATCACAGGAAAGAAACCAAAACTATGTTCAATTCTGAGTTCATGGAGACCACAGGCCCATATTGAGTGCTTCCTCTATCACTTTCCATCTTATTTATTTATTGAATTTTATCATTGTGTGTTTATGATATGTGTGTATGTGTGTGCATGTATACATGTGGAAGCCAGAAAGCAATTCTGTAGAAGTTGGTTCTCTCCTTCTACCTTTACATGGTTTCTGGGGATAGAACTCAAGTAATCAGGCTTGCTTGTTAAGTGCCTTCCCCATCTGAGCCAGCTTCATGGCCCCTCTATCTTACTTTTTGATAAAGTTTTTCGCTGATACTAGAGCTCTTCTATTTAACTAGACTGGTTGACAGGAGAGCTTAAGGATCCTGCTTCCTAATGCTTGTATTAGAGCTATCTGATGTGCCCAACTTTTTACATGAGTGTTAAGATCTGAATTCAGGTCTCATGCTTGCACAGCTAATGCTGTATCAACTAAACCATCTCCCCAACCCAAGATATCTTCTTAAAATATGGATTTAATGTGAAGATTCAGCTAATTGAGTCATTGTCTTAAATACTTTTCTACTGCTATAATGATAAACCATCTCCAAGGCAACTCACAGGAAAAAGAATTTATTGAGGGCTTAAAGTTTCAGAGGGTGAGTACTTGACGATCATCATGGGAAACATGGCAGCAGGCAGCTAGGCAAGACACTGGAGCAGTAGCTGAGAGCTTACATCTGATCTGCAAGAACGAGGTAGAGAACATCAGGAATGGTGTGGACTTTTGAAACCTCAGAGCCAGCTGCTAGTGACACACCTTCTCCAACAAGGCCACACCTCCCACTCCTTCCCAAACAGGTCTACTAACTGGAGACCAAGTATATGAACATATGAGCCTATGGTAACCATTCTCATTGAAATCACTATGTCATATATAATTAGCCTAGACTTGCTTTCCTCTAAGATTATTCACCTCAGTTACATACCTGAATTCTTTCCTTTGTCCTTAATTCATTCATTCACTTTTTTCTTTTTTAGATTGGTGCTCAGTATATAGCCCAGGCTGGCCCCAAATTCAAGATCTTCCTCCCTCAGTCTCCCAAGTACTTCAGTTATAGGCATATGGCACCATGCCTGGCTCATTTCACTAGTTCTTGTACAATCTCATACTCTTGGGCTATGGTAAATTAATAAATTAATGCCCCATGGTCAGCAGATTCAAATACAACCATGTGGTATAATTTAGCCCAGACTCGATTTTAATTTTTTTTTTCCAAGCAGATTTCTCTGTGTAGCCTTGGCTGTCCTCAAACTCACTCTGTAGACTAAGCTCGCCTCAAACTCAGAGATCTGCCTCTGCCTCCCAAGTGCTGGGATTAAAGGCATGTGCCACCACTGCCCAGCTCTATTTTAATTTTTAAAAATTTTATTTATTTTATTATTTTTATTTTTAAAGCATCTAGATGTTTTGCTGGTATACCAACTGTGTTCCTGTTGTCTGAAGTCCAGAAGTTACACCATTGGAATTAGAGTTATAGCCAGTTGTCAGCTGCTGGGTGTGCTAGGAGGTGAACCTGGATTCTCTGGGAGAGCAGCTAGTACTCTAAATTGCTGAAGGTATTTCTCCAGACCCTAATGTTTATTGAGACATAGTCTCACTATGTGTCTCTGGCTGTCCTGGAACTCACTATGTAGATTAGGTTTGCCTTGAACTCATAGATTCACCTGCCTCTGCCTTCTGTGTTCTGGGCTAAAAGGCATGAGCCACCACTCCCGGCTCCTAACTTTTATTTTCATTTTATGTGTGTGGGTGTTTTGTCTGCATATATGTCTACACCATAGTGAGTTTTCTTCTCACTGAGTAGTTTCTGTTCCCTCTTTTTTTTTTTTTTTAGAGCTGAGGATTGAACCCAGAGCCTTGTGCTTGCTAGGCAAGTGCTCTACCACTGAGCTAAATCCCCAAGCCCAGTTCCTGTTCTCTCTAAAGATTTTTTTCTACTGGGTCCTCTTTTGTTTTGGTTCAAAGGCACTGCCTTCCCAGATTTGCTTGTGAGGTTGTCAAATTTCTGGATTCTCTACCTATCCCTTGCTTCTAAGTAACTCCAGTTCTTCCTCCTTGGAAAACGGTAGAGGTTTAGGGGGTTCTGCTAGGCAAAGTGCATGTTAGATTTTGAGTGCTTTTCTTCTATTATGCTTCCAGAATGTTTCAACCCTCTTGCAAACTGATCTGTACTCTCCAATTGGAAAATATGAAGGTCATCTCTAGACAACCTGACCAGCATTGAATAAAGATCTAGAAAATCAGCATTCGTTGGTAAATTCATGCCAAGCCAAATAACCTACCCTGACTCTTCTGATCACCATGCTCATTCTCATTTTCAGAACATCAGGATATTGTATAAATATTTATTTAAACATACAGATTCACATAAAATCTATAGCATGGAAGGAGAACTATCTTTATGTTTCATTGTTACTATTATAATTTTTAAATTTTTATTTATTGATGGGGCGATGAGCAGACGAGTGGAGGTCAGAGGACAACTTGTAGGAATTCCTTCTCTCTTTCCACCAGGTGTGGAACTCAGATGTCTTGGTGGTAAAAGTATTTATAGGCTGAGCCATCTTGCAATAGGCATTCTCTACGTTGCCCTAGTTGATACCAAACTCTCTTTATAGCTATACAGGAACTAGTAGCAATCCTCCTGCTTCTGCTTCCAAATCAAGAGACTTGCCCATCATTAGGGGGCCAAAGCCAAAGTATTTTCTTTTTTTGAGACAAAGTTACAAGTAGTCAAGGGCAGCCTTGAACTCAGTTTGTAGCTGGAGCTGACTTTGAACTTCTGATCCTCATGCCTTCCTTGACCTCCCAGGAGGGATTTGTAATCCCTCCCAATGGTGGGATTACAAATGTGAGTTGCCATGCCAGGGCCGAATTCTATTTTTTTTAACTCCAAAGAAATAGAGGGAGCTCTGTCACAGCGGAGGACGC